AAAAGTTGCCCTGGTTCGTACTCGCGTATTAGAAATTAAGGAATGAATCTATGGCAAGGAATCGTCCACGAGTCGAGAAACGAATTTTTTGATATTAATCGTGGAAATTTCAGAGAGTATTCGGCAAAGGGAACACGAGTCTTCCAACATAACCTCTTCGAGGAACAGTTCTCGACGTGAGATCGATCGTCACTCCAGTGACGCGACATTTCGACATTTTTCCTTTAATCGCTTTTAATATCGATAAAGAAAAATCTGTGTTCGAAGGCTTCGAGGCCGATCTCAATTTATTATTATTACTATTATCTTCGAACTTATTGAAAAAATAATACGTCAAAATATGTTCGGAGGGTTATCAAAAAATTCGATCATTCGATCGAGTTTCCCTTTCGAATAATTGAAAATACAATTGAAATCGATAATTGTCGTTATAATATATCAACGTGATTGAACGTGATCCCACGATGATGAAAAAAATGAGAAAAAGGACAAAGAGGAAACACGATCGATATTTTATTGTTAATGCACGAAATTTAAAAATACTCCCCCACTGCGATAACTATTATACATACTATCTCTTCTGGGCGCGAGAAAAGATTGAGGAGAAAAAAAAATAGGGATAAAAGTCGCGTGCGAAAGAATTAAAAAAAAAAAGAAAAAGAAAGAAATCCGTAGAAAAAGCAAGAAGCTTCGTCGTGGACGGCTCTAAGCCTATTATTTTCTGTGTGTGTGTGAGAAATTGCAAATTATTTATTCCTATAGAGTCTATTCTTATAAATATATATATATATATATATCTTTCGACTGAGTTCCGCGTCGACTTACCGAAAATAATGTTCGTATTCATATTCGTTCGTAAAACGAATAAATTCAAAGGTAAAAAAAAAAAGAGATCAACATTTTTCGCTGTATATATGTATGTTTATTCTTAAAAAAAATTATACGGCTATTATATATATATATGTATATGTAAGTATATGTATATACATACGTACATATATACATACATATATATATATAAGTACATTACAAAGTATAAATAAATAAATAAGTTAATAAATAAATAAATAAATATATATATATGTATAGAAAAAAAATGAAGAACAAAGATCAGCAAAAAAAAAGAAAAAAAGAATGGAATGTATTAAAAGAATAGCGTATGCTGCATATATGATATTTCGAAGCACATCTGTTTAAGGAATTGTTACAGAATGATTCAATAAATATTATCTTAATACAATTTCATGCTGATAATTCATGGATGAATCGTTAAACATATACGAGAGAAGTTTTCGATTTTCGATCTCGATCCAAAAAATATTCTTCATTTATTCATCTAAGTACTTTTAACTACTCTGTACCAAATCATTGTGTACTAATCTGATTTCATTTAATATATTGACTGTTAAGCCTTTGAATCTTGGATTTTACAGTTATTATACCATCCTTCTTCATTTCATCCCTCCTCTTCTCCTCCTCTTTCGAATCTATCATTATCGGTTGATCTATATCGCGTAAAAATATCGTGGATGTCGTTGTTGGAACTGTATTATTATTTTCTTGCATCGATTGCTGAAATCATAAAATTAATTCGAATAATAAATTTTGTTGATATTTATATAAAGTTCTATTTATATAAAGTACTATAACTAATAGAAAATGATTGCTTATCTTTTAAAAAAAGAAAATAAAAAGACAACGTAAAATTACCTGCATGACGTTTAATAGGAACAGAAAAGCAAGTAAAGTCAAGGCGCTAAGTGCAGCTCCTTTGTCATTTTTATTTTTGTTACTTCTGAAAGTTTATAAAAATTCGATTTAATTTTACTCTGATTATTATATATAAAAGAAATGAATAATAAAATAAAAAAAAGAAAATTATGAATATTTTATTTCACCCTCGTGAACCATGATAGTATCCTCCATATTCGCCGTGATGATAACCATCAGAACCGCTATGGTACCTATCAATACCTGGATGATAAGGATCATTCAAGTTTCCGAGATTCATCAAAGATTTGAATGTCATCTACAAGAAGAATTGGATCACATTGATGTATTAAATACGAATAGAATATTTGAAACTTTTAAACTCGCGAATTTACAAATAA